CTTGTGATAGTAGAAAAAGTGTCTTCAGAACAAGATTGGGACTTCACAAGGCTTCAGCTGCTGTGTGTGCCCTGTTGCTGAGGGGGTACTCATGCATGTAGGAAGAGGCTGACGTTGAAGCCTGCCGCTTACTGGTGGGAGACACAGGCAAATTGCATAGGATGTGTGAGTCAGGGTTCTCACCATTGGTAGACTAGAGTGTAATATATGTACTGTCATATAGGTTGTGGTGAGGAATAGAGGAAATTCACATCAAGTTTTCAAAGTTTCAAAGCCTGACTGTTGTGGGCCATCATTAAACGGTAATGTTGTTTGGCAGAGCAGTGTTTGATGGGTAAAGGCAAATTAGCTTGTTGAGCTGAGTTTGGTCCTGGGCCCACACAGTAGACAGAAGGAGAGGACCAACTAACTGCAAACGGCACTCTCTGCCTTCTTCCTCCATGTGGCCATGGCGCTTGCACAGCGTGGTTTTTAAATGGAGCCGTTGTTAGTTCTGCCCTTGGAGGAACTGTCAGGTAAGGTGTATGGTGCTGTTTTTAATGTAATTGAATGTCACTTGCAGAAGATACCAGCAGTGCATTCGATTCTAGTGGCATCTGGCAGTTCTGGAGTCTTGCGTTTTGGGTTGGGTACATTGTGGTGGCATCAGTGGAGCGTCTTTCCTTAGGCTTTTGCTGCCACATAGCCACCCCATTTTGCCATAGCAGTGAGATTTAAACAGAGACATAAACCAAAATTACTCAAATAACTCATAAAAGTTTTCCTAAAGCCCATGGACCTCTAGTAAGAACTCTTGTAATTAAAGATTCTCAAATAACTAGTTTGATGGTAAGCAGGACTTAGCCCAGAGGTGTGTATATAATCTCCTCACACTCCACAAAGAGCTACATGACCGTGCACCAGTCACACCGTATGTGAAGAGCCTCACATACTGTCCCTGGGGCCAAGCAGAGGGACTGTGGTGTTTTCTGAAGGCCAGTGCACAGCACACACTCCTAGAGGACTTCTTTCAAGTGGGCAGGGTGATTTTGCCTTCCTCTTCTCTGGACAAGTGGCAATCTAGAGACAGTTTTGATGGTCACATTGCCATGCTTCCTTCAGGCATAGGTAGAGGCCTGGGATGCCTCTTATGTCTCATAATGCAGCTGCCATAACAAGATGTTTTCTGTCCCTAAATACCAGTAGTACCCAGGGCAGCCTCCCCAGATCTCAGCTGCTGCTTTCTGGATGGTATTGTTTGGTGGTGGTTCAGAGTAGGTAGGTTTAAGTTTTTACTTATTTGCATGTTGTGCCTCTGGCAGATAGATGTGGAAGACAAGAAGCGATGACAAGCAGGCAGGGTTGAGGGAGCCAGATGGGTATTCAACCTCTCTCAACCTGATTGGCTGACCCCATGGTTTCACCTGAGAATTTGGATGTGTATCACTAACCTTGACTGCACCTGAACCCTGACCTGTTGCCTTTAAGAAGTCAAACCCAGTGATATAGAAAGTGTGTGTGTGCGGGCGCGTGTGTGCGTGTGTGTGTGCGCGTGCGCGTGTGTGTGCATGGCACAAACAGCTCTCTGCCGTCACCACTTCCCCACAACCCCGCAGAGCAGATTGAGAAAGGTGATGGAGAAGTGGCTTCTGCTGGCAACTGTCAGAGTGGCCCTTTCTTTCCTTTGTTGAAGTGGGAGGACGAAGACTGTGCCATGGTCCAGCGTTGGCAGGTGCATGCTGAGCTATCACAGCAGATGTTACTCCTGGGGCTGCTTGAGGGAAGCACTGCTACACTGACTCAGAGTTCTAGCTCCTCACAGAATGGGTGGGAGTCAGTCAGTCGGTCACTTACCGGGATGTGGGAGACCTCTAGCAGGTGACGTGTGTGCTCATGTGCATAGGCAGTGGTTCTCAGCCTTCCTTAGACCCCAGGTCATTTTTTCTCTTGACATCTCTCATGCTGTGTAGAATTAAATACTGTTTGGAAGTGATTCACTGGGACTGTGGTCCAGTGGTCAGGTGCTTTTAGCAAAACGAGGGCCCGAGCTGGAGCTGTAGAGATGGTGACGTCATGACAGCCAGCCTCATCCGTGTAGCTTTAGTGCTGCCCTCTGTTGGTAGTTTTTCTCAAGTATATAAGAGAAGCTGAAAATATGCCCTCAGAGGGTTCACTGAAGTGTAATCAGTTAGCTTCTGTAGTCCAGCCTGAAGAGAATAGTTGGCATTTCTTCAGAAGATCTAGTTTCCTCTCAGCTGTACAAATAATGCTTTTGCTATTTTAAACAGATGAATTTAAACCTCCACTGTAATGATGGTTGTTACTGGTGTAGTCTGCAGGACTCCTGACATTTTTGATTCTTCCTTGAGTGAGGAAAGACATCATGTGTGTCTTAGTTAGGGTTTTATTGCTGTGAAGAGACAGCATGACCCAACTCTTACAAAGGAAAAGATTTAATTGGGGCTGGCTTACAGTTCAGAGATTTAGTCCATTATCATCATGGTGGAAAGCATAGTGTTGTGAAGGCAGACATGATGCTGGAGAAGGAGCCGAGAGTTCTTTTTTTTTTCTCCCCTAAGATGTATTTATTGTGTATACAGTGTTCTGTCTGCATGTATGCCTGCTCGACAGAAGAGGGCACCAGATCTCATTTCAGATGGTTGTGAGCCACCATGTGAGTGCTGGGAATTGAACTCAGGACCTCTGGAAGAGCAGTCAGTGCTCTTAACCGCTGGGCCGTCTCTCCAGTCCGGAGTTGAGAGTTCTACATCTTGATCTGCAGGCTGCAGAAGGAGACCGTCAACCACTAGGCCTGGCTTGAGCTTTTGAAACCTCAAAGCCCACCCCCCAGTGACACATTTCCTCCAACAAGACCATACCTCCTAATAGTGCCCCTCTCTATGGGCCTGTGGGAGCCAATTCATTCAAATTACCACACATTGCTTAGGTCAGAACCACTCTTTCTAACTGCCATACTCAGGCAGTAAGGAACCAAGACACTCAATTCCAGAAAGTTTAAGCTTAGAGTATACTACAGACCTATGAATTATGAGGAGCCTGGCTCTCCACTTAACTTCCCATCATTCCACGCTCTGCTTGTGCTTCTTCCAGCCATGCATCTGTCTCCTTGCCTTTTATTTCTTTGTTTTTCTTTTTTTTTTTTTTAAGATTTTATTATTTATTTATGTATCTGAGTGCTTTATCTGCATGTACAACTTTATGCCAGAAGAGGGCATCAGATCCCACTAGAGATGGTTGTGAGCCACCATGTGGTTGCTGGGAGTTGAACTCAGGACCTCCAGAAGAGCAGGCAGTGTATTTCTTTTTTTTTTTTCAAGACAGGGTTTCTCTGTGTAACAGCCCTGGCTTTCCTGGATCTCGCGCTGTAGACCAGGCTGACCTTGAACTCACAGAGATCCCCTGCCTCTCCAGTGCTGGGATTAAAGGCGTGCGCCACTGCCTGGCATCTCCTTGTCATTCTTGGCTGCTGCTGCTGTGACAGTCACTTTGTAACTTCATACTCAGGGATGAGGTCCTGAGTCGCAGTCTCAGTTTGCCCGTTCATCTGTGGAAAACTGTCGGCTTTGTTAGTCTCCAGGGCCCTTCCAGGTAGCTGTAAGGATAGTGACATGGGGGTGCTTCACAAGCGTAGCATTTGTTCACTTCTTCCCTCTTCTGGTTCAGGACTGTCCACTGATTCCCATCCCCATCCCCATTTCCTGCACCCTGTCACTGGCCTTGCCATTCTGGGACTTTTAGATTTTATTGAGGAAGATTTTCCATTCTACTGTGCCCAGGTCACTGAAGTTATAAACATGTATAAGTAGCCTTGGGAAAATAGTGTCCTCAACGCAGGGAAGGAGGGCATCTCTGACCAGAGATTCAGCGCCAGACACAGCACTGGTGGTTTCACCACACTCTGTGGCTCTCTGTTTGATGAGTGACTTCCCTTGCCCAAGGTCCCACACTGAGTGACCAAGTCAATAGTCTGGCTTCTTGCTCTGGCTCTCCTACTGTGTGCCACCAAGGTAGACAGTAGTGACTCCTACTCAGTGGTGACTCAAGGTCACCATTGGGGATTTCCCATTGGTCTGTTGGGCAGTTCTCTGTGGGTGGAGCCCAAACATTTCAGGACTTAAAAGGTAAAGGAAAAGTAAGGAGGGTTTGAGAAGGAAGCTCAGCCCTGAAGATGTAACCAGATCCCAGTATGTTGGTAACCATATCTGTAATGAACCTTCCGGAAAATGCTGTGGGACCGATGTTGGAGTTAAGTTTTGTGCTCCAGTCTTTGAGAGTTCTAGGTTTGGGAAAGGAACTTTAGAGAGACAGTCCCTGGGCGCTAGTGAGCTGTTCTTTTAGAGCACACCCCCCCCCCCTTTGAGAGCACCCCCCCCACTCCCCCTTCTCCCCAAGGCTCCACTTAGCTGTTAGGTAGGAGCTTCAAAAGGGAAACCCCAGTCATGATAATCTCCAGTTAATGGGCGTCTGCTGAGCCACTAGGTCACCAGAAGGGATAATTACACAGTTTCTTTGTGTAATAAATACAAAAATGGAAGAAAAAGTTCTGAAGGCAAGCCAGATTGTTAGTGACTAACAGTGTCCTCTTGAGAAAGAGCTGTGGAGGGAGTGCTTGGAGGGCCTTGTCACTGTGATTACTGGTGGATGGGTGCAATACCAAACAGCAGGCATTCTAGGAGACGTCTTGCTCAACCATTGGGAACTTGGGGATCTCCGAATTCTCTGCCACAAGCCATAGAACAACAATGATGAAGGTGTACTTCCACCCCCCTCACACGTTAGCTGCTCCAGTCATGGCCAGCCTCCAGAATGAAGACTGGATGCTTACTTTTGATTTATGGAAGATGAAGCTAGCTTCCTGACCCAGAATGGCATGTTAGCCACAAGCCAGAGTTCTTGGCTTAGCATCCATTCTCTAGTTTGAGATCTAAGTTTATGCCTTGCAGTCATTTAGGTTTTTGCAGAACTCGGCATAATTCAAATAACCTGTTTTTCCCCCTTAGAACACTTCAGTTATGGAAGATCACAATGAAGATGAGTCCCCAAAGAAAAGTGCTCTTTGGCAGGTAGGCACCATAAGCTAGCAGATTACCATAGATAAGTTCTGCCCTTGCTCGTGTCCTCACTGAGATCAGAGCCCAGCCTCAACTTTGCTCAGGGCTGCTGGATTCAGAAGCCACCCTATTAGCCAGACCATCATTTCTTCAGGGAAGTGTCCTTACTATAGTAAAATAACTTTGGAGTTTTCCTGAAAGATTCCAAAAGGGCAATAACCTGAAATACTGACTCTGGCCCAAGATAGACCATGTGGAAATCCTCCATCTGGGAATGGTGGGAGCATTTAGCTTTGAGCCGAGGGCAAACCTTTATGGCAGTCCTGCCCCACGGTTAGAACGGCTGCACTTCCGCTCGCACACCCTCCACTCTACCCCGCTCTTCCTGTGGGGCACTTTCTTCTTTCATTTCAGTCCCTGTTTGCCTCTCTCTGCTTGTTTGTTCCAACCTCCCAGGATTTGAGGCGGTGCGGGGTGGGGGTCTGGGGAACATGGTTTAGTGTTTTTATTAAGCATTCTGGTGAACCTTTTCTCCTTCGTGAGGACGTGAGTAAAGGCACAACATATATAGAACAAAGTGGGGGCGGGGGAAGTTACCTGGGCTCATTGGATTAAAAACAATTGAGGTAGGTTAGTTAGCAAGAATAATCTACGCACAAATTTAAAATGAAGTGAAACAAGGCAAAATAATTTCAGCAGGGTTTGTCTGGGCCCACCAGAGAGCTGGAACTAGAAGCTGGAAAATGTGCTCCTAAATCTGCATGTGCCCTGCTTGTCTTTTTTGAACATCATGTGTAAAAGGAACACTCATGACCTTCTTCCACATCTGCATGGCTGCATCTCTTAACTGTTGACCTTTCAGTTTGCAGTGGTTCCCAACTCTTTAAATCCGGGTCTTCATCTGTCCACCTCCTCCTAGTCAGTCACCTGGTGGGAAAGGATTGAAATAACAGTCCTTTGCCTATCAAACGAGAAAGGGCGTGTTAAGAAGCAACACAGATTCAGGCCGTTGCCATAATTCTGTTTAACCTGTTGTGAAAGCAGATGTTCTGGACAATTGTCATCCAGATGTTGAGTAAGGAAAGAACACATGAAGTCTCACAGTTGACATTCTACACGCAGCCTTATTTTGTCGTGGTGTGCTCCCCTCTCCACAGATGATTGTGTTCATAACACCGTAAGACTCCACATCTGCCTTTGTTCCTCCCATCGTTTCAAAAGCTCCCTCTCTTAGTGCAGTCTACTTTACGTAAAGCTGGCCTGTAGGGCCGGCCACACTGTAGCCCTCTGTGTAGATGATGTGTTGTAATGTGAGTTACCAATTGTTTGCAATTGGACAGTCACTTCTATTTTTTCCGGTTATAACATTATGATACTGTTATGCTTAAAATGATGTATACATCTCCTTTTATGCCTGTTAATATTTATGACAGCAAAGGGTTTTTACTTTGTGTCATTCTTCTGTTGAGTTGGTTAGATGGGAATGCCTTCCAACAACCAGAACTTTGAAATGCTTGTTCAATGCTGCCCTCTGGTGGTAACAGGTGCTAATTGACTTACCCCTTGCTCCAGGAATTGGGGTGGCCTGGAGAGTTGGACATGGATGGTTAAAGGAAATTAAGTGGAAGCTGAATGCTTTCTGATCTTACCTCTAAATGTAGACATAAAAACTTACTTGAGATATGAAACTGAAAAGCTTTTTGTCAAGAAAAGCCAGAAGTTTCCGTCGAATATTTAGAGGTTACCTTCTTTCTTCAATGAGTTTAGTTTAGTTATAGAACATACCATTAATGAAAACTCTTCGTTCCACATAAGCCTTTGGAAACAAGTTTATAATGGATTTAATGGCCATTTGTAATTCATCTCTTCAGGTCTGAAAATCCTTTACAGTCTTAACTATGAGTAGGCTATCAGACGAGCAGCTTGGCAGTGTGTAACAAAACACTACTGTGGCTGGCTGGTGAGGGAGCACACCTTTAATCCCAGCACTCAGGAGGAAGAGGCAGGCGGATCTCTGAGTTTGAGGCCAGCCTGGTCTACAGAGTGAGTTCCAGGACAGCCAGGGATATATAGAGAAACCCTTTCTCGAAGACCAGAACAAACCAAAACAAAACACTGATGTGATTGTTTTTAACTAGAAGGCCCTGTGTTTCCTAGCATTAGTAGTGTTGGTGGCTTCGAGTCTAGGGATGTAGACCGTGTTGTTCTGGTGCTGTGAGAGGGTGTGTACGGTTGCATATATGTGAGTCTGCAGATGTGTGTCTTCTGCTGTTGTTCGCAGCCTTCCTGCCTTGAGCTAGGGTCTCCTGCTGAACTGGAAGCTTGCATTTTCAGCTCTTCTGGCCAGTCAATGTGTTCTTGGTGTCTGTTTGTTTACATGCCTTCATGCTAGTGTTACTGGCATGTGCAACCATGCCTGGATTTTTAATGGGTTCTGGAGATTTGAACTCAGGGCCTCATGCTTGCACAGCAAGTGCTTTTACTTGCTGAGCCACCTTCCCAGCCTCTAGATTGTGGGGTACTGCCATCCAGAAGTGTTATGGAGGGCTTTTTTCTTTCCTCTTTCTAGGGGAGTAGTGCTAGAATTGAACCCTCTCCAGGACTTTACCCAGACTCCTATGGTTTCAATTACAAGTTTTAAATTAGTTAATTTAATTAATTAACAGGCTCATTTTATAGTACAAGTATGGAGGCCACAGGACAACTTTCTGGAGTCTGATCTCTTTCTGCTGTGTGGGTTCCTGAGATCAAACTCAGGCTGAGCTATCTCATTGGCCATCAGATTAGATGATGGTGCTCTACAGGGAAAGGTAGACTGAATTGATGAGAAAAGTGTTGCTGTAAGGAGTGCACTGGTCATATAGAAACCATCCAGGGTGAATACCTTTCCCGGGATACAGGAGTTACTTTGGACCATTTTCTGAGAAGTCGGACAAAAGGGATGGAAAGTCTAAACTGTCGGGCCCGCATTTATTAGCCATGGCAGCCAGTATGGAGGGAGGGGTCAGCTCTCAAGAGAAAGTGGAGTGTTCCAGATGGACTTACTCTCAGAACCCTCTTCTGTTGAGATAGACTGGGCTCTCAGTGTGTTCCTTAAGTGCAGTCTGTCTAATGGACTCTGCAGCACCCGGGAACTTGTTAGCAATACAGATTCAGGCTCTCATCCAGACAGACAGAATCCGGGTCTGTGGTAATAGGCTCGAAGCTACTCTAATGCTTGCTCAGGTGTGAGAACCATTACTATTGATGTACAGTAGTAGCCCAAACTGCTCCAGTTGTAATCGGACATGGTGCCTGTGATCAGCTGCGGTCTAAAAATATTAAAGGAAACATCTCAGAAGTGTAGTGGGGGAGAGTGTATGTGCATATTCACATAACATTAGAGTATTTTGTTTGAAGTGTTCTATTGTCAATAGTCTCTTACTATGTATAACTTATAAGCTCAGCTTTATCATAAGTATGTATATAAGTATAGGTAGAAACATGTAGCGTTTAGTATTATCCATGGGTCTAGGCATCTAGCTGAGATCTTGGAGCCTATCTTGAGAATATAAGAGAGATATTAGCTTTTAATTTTGAGGAAGTGAGACAGACTGCTACTAGCCAACCCGATTTCAGCTTGTCAAGTTGGGCAGTTAGTTCCTCTAAGATAATCGCCTCCAAAATGAGTTACCTGATAATGATTGGGGGGGGGGGTTTGCAGTAAACAGTGGGGAATGATGAGCTCAGTCTCCAGTCGGCTTTGGAAACAGCTACAACTTCAGCAATGACTGTGCTCATTAATCTGAGGATATGCATAGGCCCTGAATACATTTTAACTATGTAATGAATGAATGAATGAACAAAGAAATGAATTTGGTTTAGGTTAAAACTGGCATTTTAAGGTTAAATTCATAGGACAAAAGGTATTTCTAGTGAAACTGATTAAATGCCTTTCAAGCTAATTATTGTTTCTTTATTTTTCCAAAACAGATAAGTAACGGAACGTCATCTGTGATTGTCTCCAGAAAGAGGCCGTCAGAGGGGAACTACCAGAAAGAAAAGGACTTGTGCATTAAGTACTTTGACCAGTGGTCTGAATCAGATCAGGTGGAATTTGTGGAGCATCTTATCTCACGAATGTGTCATTATCAGCATGGACATATTAACTCTTACCTGAAGCCCATGTTGCAGCGGGACTTTATCACCGCCTTACCAGGTAACCGGGCTCGTCCTGACAGTTCCTGGGGAGAGCTGAGTGGATGTCTGTGACTGCACTGTGAGCCATCATTTCTTGCGACATCCATTGTATTTGTAGTTAGATTTTAATCCTTCTTCAAGTGCCATAGTAAAATACAGTAGATATGCTTTTAAGAAATGCAGGCTATTCCTGTGGTTGATCGTGTGGTGTGTCGATCAGTGCTGGTACTGCTTTTAGTTGCCTTTCGTTCTTAAAGATACATGTTTTTATTTTAATATACATACGGTCTATACTTACTTTTACATGTAATTTTAAAAAATGTATGGAGCTGGGCATGGTAGCTCATGCTTGCTTTCCTGACACCCATCAGCCTAAGATAGGAGGATTATTTCATGGCCAGCTAGGGAGAGGCATACAGAAGACATACAGGTGCACATGCACACATACACATCTATTTTTCCTTAAGTCTGTACTTTGGCAAGCCTGGAGTTGAGGTTATTCACTTGTATCTGAAGGGATAATTTAGGAAAGGGCCAAGAAACTGAAAAAATAATGGTAGTGTGTCCTTCTCCCCTCCCTCCCTCCCTCCCTCCCT